AGCAAGGATGCTGTCCCGTTCGAGTCTGCATTTTTCACCCACCGGTATACAGGTATGTGTGTGCATACCATGTGCACACATACATACATACATACATACATACATACATACATACATACATAAATACATACTTACTTATGTACATATACAGATACAGGTATGCACGATTCTTCTTGTATACTTATCCCATTTATGTGTACATACTCAACTCCCCTAAACCTTTGGGAATGGACTCCACCACAACCCAAAGCCCTAAACCCTAAACCAAACTCCCAAACCCCTAAACCCCCAAAACCCCAAAACCTCAAAGCCCCAAAACCCCAAAGCCCCAAAACCCCAAACCTCGAACTCCTAAACCCAAAAACCCTAAGCAACCCCAAAACCCTGAACCCTAGCCCCCCGAAACCCCGAAACAACGAAACCCTAAAACCCTCAACCCGCCAGGCAATCCTTCCAGGTCTCTCGGCCCCAAATCGGCATGCTGCGAAGGCCTCGGACCTGAGAACAAATCAGCCGGGGTTTAGGCATGCTTAAAGTTTAGGGTTTAGGGATGCTTAAAGTTTAGGGTTTAGGGATGCTTCGAGTTTGTTTAGGGTTTAGGGATGCTTCGGGTTTGTTTAGGGTTGAGGGTCGAGGAATGTGTAGGGATTCAGGAGTTTATAAGGATTTAGGAATGTGTATGGGTTTCGGTTTGAGAGTTTCGGGGATAGGGATGTCTATGGATTCAGGCCTCATGCATGTTTGGGGGCTTAGGATTACGAGTTAAGGGTTTAGGGATGTTTATAGGGGTTTAGGGGGTTTAGGGATGAGAGCATCGGGTTTCGGGACGTTTGAGGGGGTTAGAACGTTGTCGGGTCTACGGGTCAAGGGCAGCCATGTCGTCACTCACTTCAAAGCTACAGCTCTCATTCCTATATAAACCGTAAAGCCTGTTCTCTACACCGCAACCGACTGCAGATCCGCTTTTTGGCCGCCCTCTCATAGCTGCGCATCTGGAGGAAAGCAGCGCGAGCTTGAGGGCTCACCACCTGCAGGGCACAAGATGCGCAAGACGCAACCTTACACTTACACCCCAAGGCCCAAGGCCTTGGATCTGAGCCCTACACCACACTCTTGGATTCATTATTTGGGAGTTTCCGAAAATAAGGGGTACCTTATTTTGGGGTCCTTATAATAAGGATCCTACTATTAAGGGTCTATATTAGGGTCCCCTATTTTCGGAATCCCCCATTTGAGTTCTTCATAGACCCCAATAGCTCCTCCCATCATGAATTTGCCCAAAAGCAAGGGGTACAAGTGCAAAGGCGAGCACGACTGGGTAGTCTCCACGACCCCGAGACACTGCAGCGGCTAGCCTGAACCCTGAGATATCCTGAATATAGGGGCCTTAATAATTCGAATAGGGTGTTGGGGCCCATTATACTATAACTATAATAAGGACCCCCAAAATAGTGTTGGTAATTATTTAGGCCCCTACATTAAACCGAAACCCCTGAGCTCACATGCAATGCAGACCCAGCGACCCCCGGAAGCCCTCGCCTGCTCCAGCCGCCCTGCCAGCCCTTTCCTCCATCGCCCCCTTGCCAGCCTGAATTTCAGGCTCCTTACCCTACAATACCCAAAACCACAAACCCTAAACCCTAATCCCTAATCCCTAAACCCCAATGAAGTGAGTGGAGGTAGGGAGCCAGGGTTCGGAGCTTCGTGGGGATCTTGTAGCACATCGGGCTCTGGGAGGAACCTAGCAGCTTTCCCAGTAGTCTGAGCAATGATTTGTCTTTGGGGCGGACAGCCAGTCCGAGAGTGAGAGCGCCACACGCCTGCACTGACATCAGACTTCAAGCTCCGTCATCGCCACCCTGTAGGTGAGTCAGGATGAAAAGGACTTTGATTTGAGCCACGTTGGCCAACTGAGAGCACCCA